TGTGAACCCCCAAATTTTTTTTGTATGGTATAACTCTGGCAGTGAACAATTTAAAACTTCTGGCAATTCACAAAGTTAAGGTTGTCAAAAATTGAAAACTCAAAGTAAAATGTTCTAAACCAGTCAAAATTATTTCAACTAAACAGTTAGGTGTAACAGATTGTTACACCTGAAGATAAATATTATTAATTACCTCTTCTTAATTTCCTTAATATCTTGAAGAGCTCTGAAAAGAAAAACCTTCCAAATTAAAAAACTTGAAATCAAAACCAGGATTAAAACTGTGATAAATTTGAATTATAATTTGACTCTGTCATATACAAGATCTGTCTCACCCATGGAGCTGATGAAGCCCTGTTCTGACACCATCCAATTGGGACTGCACAGCTGTCTTCAGTCGGGCTTCAGCTGATGCCTGTGAAGTATTACAAAGTTAAAATTTTCTCCCTACAAAGCACTTCTAATGAGACTAAATGTGCTTTTCTCCCCCTTTGGCTTAACATGTATTCAATAATCCAAACACTAATGATCACTTCTGCAGAACTTTAGAATACAAGACGACCTATTTACATCTCACTGACGCACAATAATGGCCATTGCGTCATTTCTCCTTCTTTGAGGAGTGTAGACTAGATAGTCCTCGACTACCTCGCATTTTATAGACGACATTTCCATTTCACACTTATGTATAATATCAAAGGAGGACGGGTTGAACTCATAATCAAGAAAAAAGGTCCAGGTTCCAGCCACCAGAATGAGGTTAGAATGTGCATTGGGCAATGATGAACTGCAACAAACCTTGTTTCTCATATATCTCCGTCTCCATTGTTCCACTTTGTCCAGGCTGTCAGGATGCTGAAAAAATCGGCAAAATTTGGCCATCAGGCATGACGGAAACTGGTTTATGTGGGTTTATCTTGAAGTGTAACCCTATTAAATACTGTCTCAGACAAAGCTGTTTAGTGCTGAATACTCGATTGTAAATCGATGAAAACGGAAATTGACAGTTTATAAAACGATCATACTATTCACTGCTATCTCTTTCAATGATCCTAGCACAAGGGACATTGCAAGTTTTGCCTAGATCAAATTCCACACCCATACATTTGTGGGGCAACATGTTTTGATATATTTCGATCAGCTGAATATTGTTTTTAGGTGCTTGAACAAGCGTTGTACATCGCAGTAAGGATCTTACTTGGAGCATATTTGCCACAGTCTTTGCAGCATTTTCATGAGCCTCAGCTTTCCACTTCTGAATTTCGAAGGACATGTTTGGCGTAAAAAACTGAATTCACTATATTTCTTCACAGAGGCGGAAACTAGTCCGCCATGTTTTATTTTGGTTCTTCCACAGTTTGCAATGCACTATGGAAAAAACATCTTAGAACCCAGACCCTGACGTTTTGGAATTTCAAAATGGCGAACGTGTTAGACCTTACAATCCAATTTTAGTGCTCTATTTTGGGTTGATTTGTAAATGATATTAATGGGATCGTATGGTAGAACTGGAAGAAGGCGTAAGCGTAAAAGGGAAGGTGATTATCGAAGGGAATTTGGTGCAGCTGTGTTTGAACAAGGCTATATTGAACTCCTAAAGTGGGCGAAACGAAATGGCATCTCCTTCGGTAAACTTCGTCCAGCGTACTTTCGACAGACAGGAAGAGGTTTGATGACTTGTAGAAAGCTTTCAAAAGGTGATTTAGTGATATCTGTTCCAGAGAAAATGTTAATTACGACAAAAACAGCGGAAAGGAGCCAGATTGTGAAAACGTTCATCAAACTACAACCGAAGTATTCCCTGACAGCGATTCAGATTTTATGCATTTTTATCTTGTATGAAAAATTCCAGGGAGGAAGCTCTTTCTGGTACCCTTACATTAGAACATTACCCACATCTTTTAACACTCCTGCTTACTTCAAAGCAGAAGAGCTTAGTGCTTTGCCGTCTAGTTTACAGCAACAGTGTGTTACCCAGACCAAAACTGTGCGTGAATCTTTTGAAGAGCTGAAAGGATATGTTGAAAATGATTCAACTATGCTGGATAAAGCATTTTTGGATTTCTTGACTTTTGATGAGTTCAGATGGGCGTGGTTTGTAGTTAACACAAGGTCTGTGTTCAAAGCCAACTGCATGGATTTGTTACCAGGCAGCAGGTTACAGACACAGGATAACTATGCCCTTGCCCCAGTTCTTGATTTGCTGAACCATAATGACACAACAGAGGTATATAGATTTCTACTAATTAACAATTTAACAATGGTAATGATGATGATAACGACAAAGACAATAGACACAATGAAAATAACCCTTCCCACTTGTATACCAAATCATCATCTTCAACACTGTAAGCAGTAACAGCATTATGATCTTGTCATCTTCATGATCAAGTCCAAGAATGTAACCTTAGTGTCTGAGTATTCTTTTTGAAAATTCGGCCATTTTGATAGTAGCCCCTTTTAGTAATTTGCAAACCTGAGTGGAAAAATCTTGAAGCCTATCCAGTGTGTATTACTGCTAAACACCCCTTCAGCATCCGTGATTACCATCACCATAAGCAGTATCAGTTACTGTAGGATTATTACTCTCATAATTACACCTTTATCACCAGCATTATTATTCTCATTATTGTCAACCCCGATGTAATTGTTCTGTAGTTCATTATCATCACTATCATCATTTTATTCACCTTTTACCAGTGTTGGTACTCATCCCATTAATTTCCCCTGGTCAAACTTCTTTCAGTCACCTTAGATTTTATCGTTTGTTCTTGCTGACATAAATAATAAGGTAGATTAAAACTCTTTCAGGAATATCAAAATTGTTTTGTAGGTCCAAGCTGGATTCAACCAAGAAAGTAAACATTATGAAATTTGCACTTTTACGCCCTACAAGAAAGGAATGCAGGTTTTTATTAACTATGGGCCCCACGATAACAGAAAACTGCTTTTAGAATATGGCTTTATTTTGCCACATAACTTGCACAATACTGTTGCTTTCTCTGAAGATCTAATTTACTCAGTTGTTCTACCTGATATCTTTGGTATTTCAAGAAAGAAGAGGGAAATAATTGCCATTAACGAGCTACACAAGGACTTATGTTGTTCAGAGGGAAGTGGTTTGTCATGGAATCTACTTGTCTTGTTGAGGGTTCTCGCAATGAAGGAGGACCACTTCAAAAGACATTGGCAAAGAGTCTTGACTGGTCAATTTCTTGGGAAAGATGTTGAAAATAGAGTTTCACAATGGAGACAAAACTTAATTGAAAGGGTTTTAATATCTTATGAGTTAGATGAGAAAAATATTGCTAAATTCTTGAGTTCAGATATCCAACGATCTGAAAATGCAAAGTTGGCCTTGAGCTTAAGAAACCAAGAGAAACACATCCTTCAAAATGCCTTGGACCTGCTGGAGATTTCTTGATGAAAGTCCATGGAAAGTAGGAAAGGGCAGCCACTCAAAATTTTATATTCTGATTTTTATTCTGAGACTGTGCTTGATATTGTACAGGATAACGATGCACAGTTTTATATACTTCTTTACTTTTCGACGTTTTCTAATATGCATATACTCAAAAGGCCCCTGTAGTGAGACAAACAAGGTTTTCCGTAACTGAAAGAAATAAAGTCAAACTTAGTTCGACATTACTTCCTTGCTGTTAAAACCTTGACGCTGATAAATTGTTAGGCTCTTTTATGTTTCCCTTTATAAAAAATAGTTCTTAAACGACTTGAATTCCTTGAAACAGTGTAAGTTGTGTACACGATTTTATGCCGTTTATTTGGTACTGACGAATGAGTCGCCTTCATTTCATTAGGAAAATTGAGCTGTGAGTGGAATTCGTGAGACTGATGACTGTGGTATGGCTATTGTCAGTCTACCATGTCCACCTGAGGGTAAACTTCGTTCACAATACATAGTGTTTCTCTTCTCTGACTTCGTTGATGCATCAGGGTGAAACGCCCGTAAAATCCGGGGATCTGAAACCATAGAATGGAGATGTGAAACTGAAAACATGACTTTATCCTATCGCATTCAAAAATAACTTCGTAAAGCTAAAAGAAACGCAGCTTCACGGAAGTGACTTCCAGGAGAATCGAGCTGTTTCTCTACTTTTGAATTTCTATTGAAAAACAAACAAAAATTAAACATAAGAAAACAGAATATCGTTGGTCGTGAGGATGAGTAAAACCGAACTAATCGCTATAAAAACAGTCTTGGCCACAATAACAATTTGATGAAAATCCCTTAAGTCATTACACTGATTCAATGAGATTTTTTTTGGAGCTTAAATGGTAATTTCATCCAAAATGAGTGAGTTTCTTGGCGTAGTAAATTACGTGTATCTTTAATACGCGGTTATAAATTACCGTTCATTACCTAGGAGGGAACGGTTATTTGTTAGAACACAGATCCTGGCAAAGCTGTCTCAAAGTCATTCTCTATGCTGGCAATCAGTTGCTTTTCATCGTCGTCGTAAATTTCGTTATAGTTTAGCGGCCTCTCTACATCATTACTGTTGATATAAACATAAGAAAAGTTAGTAGACGCCAGAAGGTGAATATATACTGCGAGATGGAAGGACGAACGAACAGGAATATTAAAGCAAAACAGTAGACAGACAGAACAGACAGGTTAGGGGGTAGCAAGAAGGCAGACTAATAGACAGACAGACGCACAGGCACGTAGGTACATAACTAGGCAGCAGATAGAAAAGCGAAAAGACTGACCGACAGACCATTGCAGACTTTTTTAACAGCTTTATTGGGTATGGCTCATATAATACTAATACAATATACGATATGATTCGAAAATACAAGACACAATAAGAACAATTATTGAGAGAGCAAAGCAGGAAAAATAACGTCGTGGACCCAATGGGGCTGATGCGACCGGGACACAAGGACCCATGCCAGGCACCGCCCGTGAGATAACAAAAGAAAACACAAAGAATTCTAAAACATGGTGAATAATTTTTTAGGAAAAAGAAACCAGAAACTACGGGTGACAGGAGTAGGATCGTACAATTTTCCAAGTACAGGAATAGTTTACATCAAAGCAATTCTAAAGGAGATGAAACCTGCCGACTGAAAAAATTATGAAAGGACTCTATAGTTGGAAAACTGTTAGGAGGTGATAATTTTCAGATACATATAATTCCAAAGTTAACGTTGCAGTTGAAGTAAGAGACTTGGAAGGAACTTGTTTTACATACAGGTGTTTTAAGATTATAAGAAGTACTTAGTCTGGTTTGGCTGTGAGAAACAGAGGAAACAAAACCACGAACATTGAGATCGGTACAACCATTCAGACATTTGAAAAAGAAAACGAGGTCTTTGAGTTTACGGTCATAGGTTAGAGGAAGAAGTTCTTGAGCCAAACAGACAGGGACTTTGTCCGACGGACCGTAGGGCGCGAGCGGGCAGACTATAATGTAAACAGGCCCAAGGGTAATAAGACATAAACTCAGACAGACGAACAGAGAAACAGAAAGATAGGCAAAGAGACTAAGTAAGCCACACAGTGAGCGAGCAAAAAATGAAACGAGACGAAGAAAAAGAAGGGTGCAAAAAAATTTTGGCAAATTCTGAAATAACTGGACAATCTCACCTGGCTGCTTTTCTTGAGACATCAAGAACGTTGTGGTATACGTCAAAATTTGACAATTCTGAAATAAGAAGAAAGATTTACGAAGAAGTTTGGATGATACCCAATACGAAAATTCGGTAACCCAACTTATCGAACAGAGGTGGTTTTTTTTCCTTTCTTTTTTTGCTTGGGTTTTATTTCACAACATTAATGGTGAGTAAATAGCAAAGTTGAGTAAATAGAATTCTAGATGCTTGGGACAGAAATATTGCGTCAGAGTAAATCCCGGTTTGAGATGTTTTTTTTTTCCGTGTAATCTTCTTTGGAAAGTGCATAGATGTTCTCATTCAAATGAGTTAACCACCTTTTCCTCAAGAATCCGGTGTTAAATTGTGCCACATAAAATATTTATGGCCTTTCGCTAAATTCTCTTTTCATCAAAGCAAACAATACAAATTTATATTTTACTTTAGTCACGTCTATGTTGGTTTGACGAAATATCAGAGCTAGTAGCTTAAATAACACCCCAAGATATTATCAGGCTCAAACCACAAAGTTCGTTTATGAATAAACTAATAGATAAATAAATGGATGAGTAAGTTCAGCCTCAGCTCTAAAACTAGACGATCTCATAAGATAAACTAACCTATGCCTAAAAGTGGAGCTCCAATTCGTTGACATTACTGCCTTTAAATTATTCAAACTTCCATAGGCAGTTAACGAGTATCTCACAACAATATAGCACACATTTTCTGAACTATGAGGCTACGCTGCGCGCGCTTCTTGCGAAACACAATCGCCGCCTAAAGAGAGCCAAGGACTTAAACTCAAAAAACAAGGCACTAGGTGTGGAGTGAGTCAGGCATCCTCCCACCTGATCTGCTGTAGCCACGAAAGCTCAATATTTGCTTTATTTTGCTGTATAATTACGTGTAATGTGATGCTAGTTCCAGGCTTCGTTACATAGTACCTATATGTAAATTATAAAAATTTCCTCCGTTCCCTGTTTTTCAAAGTTTACGATTAACTATTTTAAAATTTCATTTGGCCTTAATACATTTCAGTGCTCTTCTTTTTTGATAACTTTTCTCCTCTTCAAGCTAAGTCATTTCATAGTAACCGTGAGACATAAAACTGTTAAAAAAAAAACATCTTTTCATTTACATAATTACATAGCATCACGTTCTTTTCGTTTCCCATATATCTAATTTATTTGTGTAGATTAGAGATTCCTGCAAACCTAATTTCCTACTTGATTCGTTTCAAACTGTATTAGAAAATAAAATGTTTAGTTTTCAGATCACGGAGTTTAGTTATGTTTGCAAATAATTATTGTTCAAAACAACGTTAAGGCGAGCAATTAATATGATAATCATTCAGGCTGATTTAAAATGCGTATGTCGCAAACATGTTTCTTATTCTTACCTGGTTTTGCGGTGGTCGTTTGCACCTGAAAAACAAGGAAAAGTAAGAGTTAGCTGTTAGATAACAGCTATTTACCCAGGAAAAAAAAATAGTTAATAAAACTTTAAGGGGTGGTTTAGCAGGAGTTACATCAGAGCTCGTTAATCAATTAAAATTAGTTCTTGTAGAAAATTTGTGATAAAATAACCGAATTTGTCTTCGATCAATTAAGTGACAGTGTTTTTTATTGATTAAATACATACGCTTTTAATCTCAAATATAAGTTGTTAAATGATGGAGAGGGATTTATAATTTTACGTTAGGAAAAATGTAGCTAGGAAATAATTCATTCCGTTAATTAATTTTTGCACGGCACATTTAGCAACTACTGCATTGTCTGGTGCATCAGTAAATTCTATCAGATATTACAACGGCGAGGTAATGATCAGCCTTTTAACCGGCCATCTTTCCATGTTTTATCTGTCTCTTTCCGTTCCTCAAAGAATAAAACACCGGTTTACAACTGTGAATAACATTAGGAATAAAACATAAGACATTAGGGTTGGAAGCGTCTATTTTGCACATTAGTTTCTTTACAGTAGTTCACTGATCGAAAATAAGGATTTTACCAGGATTTCAAACTAATGAACAATTATCCCTGCGTGAGATATAATTAATAGGACCTTATCGCTAGAAAAATTTTATTCATCAGGTTTAATTCGGTAGGCTAAAGGCAGAAATTAAAATTGGGAAAAAAAAGATCGACGAAAAATCCGACGAACATAACAATTTGTTTTGATCATTCATACCTGTTTTCCTGGGGCATTTGCCGCTTTGAATTTTTCAATATCTATTAATTTCGACGGATCGAAAGATTCATCTGATTCTTTCTGCCAAGAGAAAATAAATAAAAAATAAACCATTTATGTTGCGACTTCAACAGCCTGTCAGGTGAATAAAATTTATTTAAGTTTTTTTTCCAAAGGTATTGTGGAGTGTCAAAATCGTAAAGAAAGCGATTTTTGCTTTAAAAAAATCTGACTAATCGGCCAGTGGAAGTCAAATGGGAGGCGGGAAAAAATCCTGAAAAACAAACCAGGACTTGGACGTAAAATAAATTAAATGAACGCTTATGTGGTCTTATTTGCCAATCCATCGTGCTTTACAACGCTCTCTCAGGTCATTAGCATTATATTTACCTTATGGATACCAGGGCGTTCATGGTTCAGTCTCTCATTGTAATCAGCGCTGTATGTACCATCGGGGGATGTTCGCGCACCAAGCGAGTTACTGACGAATTTCTCAGCATCCTGCCCGCTTTGGACGTGACTTGAGGCTAAATCAACACCATCTTTTCCATATTCGCTGCCAAAGTCGTCCACCTTTTGTACTTGCGGCTTGTTGAAAGTATTTTCGAGGTTTTCATTTACGACTCTTGTGTTACCCCAGGCGTTTTCCAGACCGGATGGCCTTGCTCTCAGTGGTTTCATAATGTTCGACTCTTCAGGTCTTTTAACGCTTCCGTGAGTGGAATTTAATTGGATTGGGTTCACGTCTTGTAGCGAATTATCCGTTGCTTTGGTTTTTGCCGGCTCTGTCTCCTGCAATCCGTTTCCATTGGATGAAATAATTGCCTCAGCTTCGGCTCTCCCGTTGCCTTGAGATGGCTTGGATTCACTGCACCCCATCCCCTTGCACTTGGATTGATAAATTTTTCCTCTGAACTACATTCTCGATGTATTTATCAACGTCTCACTCATTGTCTCTTGTAGCTAGGAGAACGGTGTGTTGAAAAACACGATTGAGGCGAGCTGCCCAAAATCCGACAACTTTTTGTTGTAATGCAAATTGATTTACTTAAGAAATTCTACGTCACCGAGGCAGCAATTAAACTGGTGTCATAAACGCGTTGGATAATTATGTAAGAGTTAATTATTGACGGCTATATTGTTCTTCGCAGCAAAGCCGCGAAAGCAAATTACACTGTCGATTAAAAAGTGCTGTTTCGATTCTTCTTTTTCATATTAATAATATCGCCTGTGCTACAAATAGGCTGCTATCTACTCGCAGTTGTTATTGGGAAGTAAGTGTATCGACCACAAAATGAATAATCAGAAGATAGGAGGAGAGCAGTTTGTACAATCTCAAAATAAACATTTCAAACTTCAATTGTCTAGGTATTCTATTGTGTGTTGATTGTAAAAGGCTTTTGTTGGCGTTCAGCTTCAGGTCTACAACATCTGGTACATTCGTTGTGCTTCAGTAGCCACAGCTGATGCGTAAAAGCTGGAGCACTAGTTTGCAAGTACAACATGCATGATTCCCTCGCACTCGCGCTGCGCAGGTTTTGGCAAAGGAATAAATGGAAATTTCTCTATCTTTTCTCAAATTTCACGTATCGTAAATGAATTATTTGGGATTTGAAGCTTCTGCAAAGTTGTTCAAATTACAAATTATTTGGAGGCAATTTTAGTTTTCTAACGGTCATGTCAGTCTGTTTGAAAGTTGAAACAAGAGAACACAATTTCAATTCCAATCTTGTTACTATGTTTTAATGAAATTTATGAGGAATCTTACCCATGTCATTTCAGAATTTTGACAGTTCTTCCTGAGAATCAATAGACCCATCATTTCGTTTCACAGGGTGGCGCACTGTTTGGGAAAAAATTGTCGTTTTGGATTACTGTGGGAGTGAAATATGATCTCCACGTTTTCTTGAAATTTAATATACTGAAAACTGCTACGCAAACATCGCCCTGATCTCTAACGCCTTAATGACAAACAGCGAGTTAATCCAAAACAAATCTTTCCGCGCTAAGATTTACAAAGCTTCACATTTTGCGATTTTAAATGATCAGGTGGATTGTCTCTCTCATGGGGAGTTTCATTGTTGGGTGGGTATTCCTTCATTGTTTCAACCTTTACAACCTAATATCAGTATACATAATCTCCATACTGTTCTCTAGGCATTTCCTATGGTGCTGACAAGAAGACTTTGCTTAAAATCATATCTTTTATTCTAGTGTGATTCAGGAGGGAATTTGTATGCTAGTCACTCAGAGTTCTTCAGGTGAAGCAACAATTATTCTTTTTCGTTCAGTTCGGTGATTAGTTTCCAAAGTGTTAATTTGCCCCTCTTTCATGGCTTCCAAAGTTGAGCAGCAGTTATTGATAGGTGGCGGTAACACACTGTTTGGAAGAGACCGGACTTGACCCATCAATTGCTTTTGTGAAATATTTAGTCAAACATCACACAGTTAACTGTTGTTCGTTGTTCAGTAATAATAGCGAGCAAATTAAAAGGTGGAGTTGTCAGGGTAGCTCCTCGACCTAATAGTGCCAAATCAATTAATAAACTAATGAATAAAAGCCAACTCTAATTGCGAATATCTTGAATAGCTATTTGTTTACCAAAACAATTACTTGTTACCAGGGAATTGTTAATCAGCTGATGCTCTCGGACATTTTGTTGAGATGCGGGAGCTAAAAACTAGATTCCAGCCTTTCTCTGTTTTCAGCAAAACTCGAAATGGCGGAAGTTTAGTTCAAGTAGAGCGCCAACCTCTGCAGCTCTTTCGGGAGAAATGACTGCAGAAATTACGTTCCAAGATTTACCAGAGGCTGTCATTCTAAACATTTTCGCTTTTGTAGCTGGAGAGCGTATATATAATTTGTTTTGACTTCGAGTTGTGTGCAAGAAATGGTCTCGTTTGTCAACAGATTCAAGTTTATGGAGGAAGTTGTATTTTCCAAACTGCGAAGGACTCTGTTATAAGGCCTTGGATCACGTCTTGTCCTGGTGTGGCAACATTAAAGAAGTTATTCTTTCGAACTGTAACCAAGTGGATGATGCATGTGTGGAAAGTATTGCCAAAAAGTGTGGCAATTTAGAAATTCTTGATCTAAAAGGCTGTCGATTACTGTCTGACCACGGGTTGAAAGTGATTTCAACGAATTGCAGACTCCTTCGAGACTTAAAAATCGTGGCATATAAAACAAGTATAACGTGTAACATTCTAAAGGATTTGATCACATCTTGTAAATCACTCCAGGAGTTGACAGTCATTTGTGAGAAGGAAGAGGATTCAGACGAATCTAATTTTTTCTTAACGAATCAGTTCTTCAAGGCAGCGAAAGAGAGTGACAGTTTGAAAAGAATCTACTTCCACGGCGCAGGAATTTTTGACGAGGAACATCTGACTTCTGATTTAAATATGTTCAATTTGCTCAGCATAGGCCTGCTAGGTTGTATTGAACTTAACAGCAATGTACTATGGGAATTGGTTTGTACTTCTCCTAAGTTACAATCTCTCGATGTTTCCTTCTGTCCTAGTATCAATGATGCAGGTATTGAAGTTGTTGCACAGGTTTGCCCAAACCTATTGCAGCTTATAGCAGAAGGATGTCCTGGTGTAACAGATGTGTCAATTGAAACTGTTGCAGAACATTGTAAAAAGCTTCAGTGGTTGAATGTGTGTGGCTGTGAACTGCCAAGGCCTGCAGGAAACATTACTGATGTAGCAGTACAAAGAATTGCTGAAAACTGCCCTGATTTACACCAGTTAAATGTCAAATGGTGTCAGGGGGTTACAGACATTGGAATTGCTGCCATTACAACAAATTGCAAGAAGTTGTGTGGTCTCAACATTTATGGTTGTTTAGGAATTTCTGATGTTTCACTAAAACTTTTAGCAACCTTCTGTAAAGGTTTAACAAGCTTAGAGATATCTGAATGTTTGCGTGCAACAGACGGCAGTATAAATGATATTCTGCAGAACTGCAACCAACTTGAATGGCTTGATATGCAGGTATGTTCATATGTTTCTGACCTGGATTTTAAATCAGTTAAAGGCTCATTAACTCTCCTTCATCATGTGGACCTCTCCTATTGCACCAAGCTCACTGACAGAACTTTAAAACAACTGGCTAAGAATTGCCCAAGGTTAAAATACCTTTGTGTCGCTGGGTGCCATAGAATCACAGACACTGGCATCATCAGTATTGCTCATGGTTGCAACAAGTTGCAATATCTTGATGTGTCTTTTAGAGGGTCACAATCTTGTGCTCAAATCACAAGTAACTCGGTATTTTCTCTTGCCGCAAATTGTCCAAATCTGACCTACTTGGATGCTATTGGCTGTTTTGGTGTAAGTGAAGCTTCCATCTCCTCACTTGTGAAGAGTTGCAGATATTTAAAACAAATCAATTTCAGTCAGTTTACAGAAAAGACAGATTCTCAACTTTTGTTAAGGGTAACTAAATTTATTTCACAGGTTCGCAGTTCTTGTAGTTATGAAGAAATGATTTCTCCTCCAAGAGGGAGAAAGTTAGTACAGAAGAACTTTCTGATAAAAATGTCTGCTCCAAATTTGTAAGGATGTTTTTTCTCTTTTTTCAACAAACCCATTTTGATGACCCCTATTTTGGAAGGGTTTAGAAAGAACACTATCCTTCTTTTTGTAGTAGTTTTATATGGCCAGGGTTTAGCTAATGACAATGATTTAAAATGGGACTTGGAACAAACTTAGACATATTTATTTAGGATATGTCAACAACAAACCATACTAGTTAGCTTTTGTGTCATTATAGAATACTTATTTATTGAGATTCATATTGCCATGTTTAAAAGGAACTTGCTGCCATGTATGAAATTACAATGAAAATTTAAAAAGACTCAGGTATTGTTTGTTTGTTTTTTTTTTTTTTAACTTACCAACCTCTCCCTCTTTTTCTACCTTTCTCCATAGAGATAAAAGAACCTTCATTTCTGGCAAACTTATCACTGGTCAAATTGTCTCAAAATATAGAATGGGATGAAGGAAATACAAGCAGTATTGAAACTTAAAACTACACTTATTGTTTTCTACATAAGCCCAGAAGCAAATCCTGTATTCTGATTGGTCCTTAACATCCTATACATTGTGTGCTGATTTTTCTGTCTTTACCCGTGGTGACAGCAATGCTTTCATTTTATGTTTTCTTAGGTGCCCACCGAACTTAAAAATAGTATTTTAGTTACAAATTGAGGAAAGTCACGTAGGACTTGTGCGTGTGTACTGAGAACTACCTCACATGCATTTTTTTCTTAATCAATTGTTCTTATTTAAAATGGAGATTCCAGGTTCTCAAACTGGAATTATTGGGGATACTCAAATCCCGAAAACTTAATAGGACACAGGTTAGTCAGATTCCCCCACCCCCTCCTCCCCTTTAATGGAAGCTCATGGGGCGAAAGCAAGCAAATTAAAGGCTATCAGCGGGGCCCTTGCAGCCGTTGTTTGGTCTCGTCACGCAACGTCCTCTCCCCGACGCTGCGTGACGAGACCAAACAACGGCTGCGAAGGAAACGAGGCCTTCCTGTGGTTCACGCTTTTCCCACTTAGATAAAATGACGTTTGAAAAGCAAATTCTCGAATGAGTTATTTTCCCTTTTCAAAATCTCAAGTAATTTAAGGATACCGTGACTAGTTGTAAGAATCTTCGAAGCGCGCTTTGTGGCTGTTTTGTTATCAACTCAGTTGATTATACAAAATTACCCTGTTATACTCTCCCACCGACGCAGCACCACAATTTCTTTAAAAGTTACCCCCTTAAAACTCAAAATTACTTGCTCATATATTTGTCGCAGCAGGCAAGAGTGGGCATGCTGGCTATCTGACCTTGGAAGGTAAAACATATGTTGTTAGAACATTAATCTAGACACTTCTACAATAATCCCAAACATAAACAACAATGTATTTCTGCTCTCAATCACAACCGAATCAACATTTGACAGCTTAAGCCAAAACAAGAACTTTCGTGTGGGTCCAAAGCCACTGAGGTCAGTGGACAAACTGGGCAGGTCCACTAACTGAAGCCGCTAGGCAAGACAGTCGCAATTTAGAAACTCATCGCCATAGTTTGAGCTAAAATAACTTCGAACTTAAAATTCATAGAGTAACTAAATGTACTTAAACGCATGAATATATTATACTGAACTAACTAAATACTTTTTGTATTGCATGTATTACTAAGACAGTGAAATGTTCCACTTAGCATAGAGCACGCACGAAAGCGAGCCTGCAATGTTATGTAAACACGTTTATATTATGAAATAGGCAAAAATAGCGATTTGTGCAAGACGGGAAGTCACGTTTTTATGAACCTTGTAATCTGATCTGATTTGGAATAAAAAAACAAACTTTCCTCGCATCTTTGCCTGTTCGCTTGGATTGCATGAGTTTTCTTACTTATTAACAGCTATTTAGTAGGTTTTTAGTTCCCTTTTCGTAATCCCTTCAAATCAAGAAGAGCAAAATTGAATGAGGAAAAAAAACTTCCGTATTTAAGCCTACTGAGAAAACGCGCAAGTCTCAAACGTATTGACATACAAGCGAACTGAATGAGATTTTATGAAAAACTAAGTCAGATTGTTAGGTTATAAATGCGCCCTCTCAACAATCTACATGTATCGGTCTTAGTATTTCGCTTACTGCGTCACATAAACATATTCACATTATTAATAAGGAATATTGCTCGAACTTGGTCTGTGGTTTTACTTCTTCACTAGCAATTTTTTTCCAGCACCTAGGATTACAAATTTTGGTGGTATTTGACGCCTAAGACCGCATTCAAGTCTGAAAAATTTTTCATCTTCATGTTCGTATCTTTGTATGTAACGTTAGGTCATCCAAAGCTGTGCGGATGAGAATTAGCTTTAATTCGAGTTCCTTGCCACAGAAAGGCAGAATATGGTCTCAAGATTTTGTTTTGGTCGCGAAGGGAAGTCATCTTTGTATCTTTGTATGTAGCGTTAGGTCATCCAAAGCTGTGCGGATAACGTGCGTGAGAATTAGCTTTGAAGCGAATTTCTTGCCACAGAAAGGCAGAATATGATCTCAAGATTTCGTTTTGGTCGCGAAGGGAAGTCATAAAATTAATTAATAATTGGACCAATAGTTGTCTCCATATTGATAAACTTAGACCTCCCACAACAAAGCGCAGGCGCTGTGCCGATAAGGAGCGTGAGAATTAGCTTTTATTTGTGTTTCTTGCAAGAGACAGGCAAACTAAAACCTTAAGATTGGCTGAAATTTGTTGAAACTCACAGGAAAAAATTAGAGCAAGAACTTTCTCCCTATTTAATTGAAATTACGTCACTTACATGGCTTCTCACAATGAAATGTAACAATGAAACAGTCTCTGTCTGACGGCGACAATTACCACGTTCTCTGCTTTTGGTCAATTACTGAAAAGAACAATAGTAATTTGAGAACCAAAAGTGACAAGCTAAGAGAATCCACGGCGCAAACTCATAAAAAGATCGAGAACATCTGATCTCTTAAGGCTAAAATTCGCCCTAAGTAAAGATATTCCTCTTTGAAACATTAAGTTTGTGGCAGTTTCCTAGATTCGCTGAGCACAATGTTTATGAGCGTCTCTGTGTGTTTGTTACCGTATGTAAGAAATTTCAGCAACGTTTAAGTTATTTGGGAGAGGGAGGAGAAACACTACGTATGTCATAAACTGGCGATCTGAATGACTAAAAACTGTAACAAGAGTAGAAATCTGTGACATCGGCAGCATTTTCTTGACCTCTGTCACAGTTCTGCATTATACAGACCTACCAGGAGTAGAACGAAGGGGTGATTCAGGAACGATTTCTTGCCTTACATGAAAAATTGTGTTATCCGACAACTAGTCCTGTCTTAAAAAGGACTTAGACGCATCTTTGGTTCGAGATAAAACTAGAAAAAATTCCTACATTTTCAACTGAATAATGTCGTTGAAAAAGGTCTTGCAGTACAGTCTGGTTCGGTATTTAACGTCAAGAAAACCTTGTGATTTGAAACTGCAAAACATAAATTGACTATCAGCTCCTAAAACTTTAAGATTTTGCTGCTATAATTGTACATGTAACTACGTTTAATTCCGAGAAAAACGATCATGTGGTGAACAGGTAGCGATTTTATGGTGTAATTATTATTTTGGCGATTTCCGAGAAAATCACGCGGGTCGATTTGAGAGTTTAAAAAATTAAAGTGAAAATGAAACATGTGAATTACAGCTGATTATATAATTTAAAGGTCAGCAGGTGCTTACAAGTGATGCTCATGACTATCGCGTGAGCACGATTTCCGCGCCAAAACTGAACTTCCAGCGTATAAAAACAACACATCTATTCCAGAACATTACATTTGTTCCATTGCACTAAACTGTAAGCTTGGCCTAGCTGTGTCTGGTAAGTACATCTTCTATTATATATGAAAAATGATTCAAAGTTCTCTACCTTTGCATAGCAAAATCATATGCTAGACTGTTAGACTAGTTAAACTGTTTTCGGAGCAGAAGAAAAAAAAACGAACGTACGTGCAAATGCGACTGAAGTAGTTCGGAGAGGTTTTAACCGAACTTGCTAAAATCACTTAGGGATCGAGCGATTAAAAAGATCTCTGGCGCAATATGCAAGGAAATTTTGGAAAGATTTTAAAACATTTTCTGTATGTAGTTAAGGACGGTTTAAAGTACTCATAAGGCGTTACTTGTACCCCTAAATCCCCTACTGTTTCGTTATTTTACTAAAGTTAACAGGAGAGTAATGACGTAAGAATTGCATATAAGTATGATATATTTCTTTAAAAGACCGCTCTTTGCGTGAAGATCCTCATCGAGCTTGTGTTTTAAAGTTCCAAATACGAAGAAATGACAAATTTGTTTTGTTTTGGTTATTTTAATCTCTAATGTTATGCAACTCTATTTGCACTCTCGGTTGTAATGTTAGGTATTTCTGACAGACAGCTACTAAGATGAAGTGTTATGAAATCGTTCTTGCCTCTTCTTATGCAGCAACGTGAGTTCCTTGCAAAATGGCGACAGATAAAAAGAAAATCTCCGAAGCGGTAGAAATGGCATTGGCGCATATTGCAAATAATGCCCCTGGAGAGTATTCCAAGCTAACTGCATTTAAAAAATTGAAATATTCTATCAAGGAGACGGCCAGAGAAATAGCCAAGGAACAAGTAAAGCTCTCTCACGAGTTTGAATGTGGACCTCAAAAAAACATCCGCGAGCGCCTTGCCAAGCATCTACCCGAAGACCGAATCAAGCTGATTGAAGAGGCTCTTTTCATCCCAACATTCCGTATGGAAATCAGCAAGCCTGAGATGGACAATGGCAAATCTCTGGTGGAGATAAAGAGAGGACAGGAGGAGTTCTTGCCTTCCAGGGAGCTGGCAGCACACGAAGACATCAACTGGGCCATGAATTTACAGCACGCTAGTATTGTAGTGGAAGCAGTGATGTTTGTCATGCAGGCGGCCGGCATAAAGGTATCTGTAAGTGGCAGTACTATGAAAGAAACCGTTGAAGACACTGCGAAAGCAATCGAAAAGTCTTCAGCATTCCAGCGAGCGTTACAGAAGTTTGTCAGCACATGGAAAACGGCAGGGAACAGCGCAACCGAGAGAGCCAAAGCCATTTTCTTCCTTCTTAAAGACACCTACGCAGCTGGATTGCTGTGGACCATAATCAAGAGTTTGTGCAAAGAGACCAAATGGTACGATTGGTTGGAGACTACAACGAAGGTAAGCGCCATGATCGTAACAGCCCTTGCCACAGATGGGGCAGCGCTAATAGCTGAGATTGCTTTGACCGTCCTAGCGACCGTTGACTTCGCCAGGAAGATCGATAATGTTGTACAACAAGAAGAGATCAGGAAAACTCTACAAGAAGAACGAGATCATACAGGTTCCGATAATCTACCTTAGAACAGGTATTACAGTCTATGTGTATACTTTACATGAGTAAATTATTTTTAAGAGGACAGTCAGACTGCAAGCTTTTGTAATATATGCCAGAGTCCCTCGAAATTGCAGAAAAAAACAGCAACCGATTAGTAATGAATAGGAATCGAAGACAATGGAGTGAACTGTTACATTCCGGCAAGGAGTTATTGTAGAGTGATTTCCAGCTGTTATGGAGCGCACTCTTAACATATTTAGTAGGTTTATGAAAGTAATGAAAATTATTTCACCGTGAGATGTGAGAAAATCGACTTTGTAAACAATGAAATCATTGTATATAGCAGCCGAATTTAACTGAGTGAACCGGCTATCTCGATCAGAAGCACCAGCAAATAAAATTGTTTAAAATGAGTTAGTCGTTCTTTAGATTACTCTTTTTTTTATAAAAAATCCTCGCTTTTGAGACTATCTGAATTATTCTTTCCCCTTAATTATATTGTTTCAATCGAAAACCAAAACACACTAGACAAAAGATTACATTGGCAGCTGCCCGTGCAAGAATATTCAAGACATCACGTCACGAGGTCGAGGACTGTTCCGAGCCCCCAATTAGCCCGTCTACTAACCCCCAAGGAGCTGGGGTATTTTTAATGTACACAAATACTTCTGGCTTGGTTTCAAAAGATCTGGCACAGAGATAAACAATTTTACAAGACTTTAAAGGAAACTCGGCATTACGAAGACGGCAGCGAGAGTGTTAATATACAAAAAATTTAATGAGCAGACCAGTTTCTCAGCTCGACCGATATCTGTAAGTCAATTAAACTGAATGTAGCGTCTGAAAGGCCCTTCCTATGAAGTAAAAAAACGTCAAACTCCCCGTGAAACGAATTTTTTCCAAGAAAAAAACCCGTTGGCAAATAGCTCTTAAACACGACGATGTCACCGAGAACTCACTAGCACTAAGTTTTTCTTGAATCTTTGCCATGGACATCGGACATGTTTTGGGATTTCCCCAGACTGTTCCATGAAAGCGAAGCTTGGAGGTTAAATTGAAAATTCCAACGTAAATATATAAGAGGCCATTTGTTAACCTTTCAGCGATGATTAGCATGTTCCAGGCGTCAGTTATCAAATCGAAGCGAAACACTAAGCGACACCATAATAGCTGCAGAGTGAAAAAGCGAAAAAAGAACACAGACGTTCATTACACGACTCGACCCAAGCGACGCTCGTTTTTTCACTCCTCCGCCATGTATGTTATCGCCGTTTATCATCGCGCTTCGTTTCACTGACTGAACGCATGGAACAGTTTAACATATGTTATGCTAAGGTTGAGGTTGGCGCTTTTAGCGACGATAAACCACAACCAGCTATTCACAAATTTCATAAAAAAAAAAATGAAAAAAACTTTTTTAATCAATGTTTTCCTCGGCCTTTTTTTCCTGGCTTCCATTTTAACCCCTTACTGTTGATACTGCGAGCGGGAATGATGACGCAAATCCTTTGTTTCGATTTAATCCCAACTCAACATTGTGACCTACTCTTCCTATGATGTCAGTGCTGACGATCTTTTCAAATCTTTGGATTGGGAAAACTTGAAATGCAACGGAAAATTTAAACAGCGGCTATGATCTGCAAGTCTCTAAATGGCCTTGCTCCGCAGTATTTGCCCTCTATGTTTAGTTATCGAGATAGAATTCAGTTCTAATTATTCTTTAAGAAACTTCGAGGGCAATTTAGTTACTCCACTACCCCGAGCCAACTTTGTCAAAAACAGTTTCACTTACAGAGGTTCAGTGTCGTAGAATAGTCTTCCTTCCTTTCCACCTTCTTCTCGTCCAAAAAAGGAAATGTCTCTCCTTAGCCACATATCATAAATGTCAAATTAAGGAGAGACAAAGAGTCACCGCGAGTCCAGGCCAGAGACTGGGACTGGTTGTGGGGACCAGGGCGGTTTTTATGGCTCGGCAGCTCAGGGATGGGATGGGGAGAGAAGGTTTTTTACCTCGTTCGTTCAAGCTCGAATTCAAACAAAAAACTTCTCTCTACATCCAAGCCTTTAATTCGCCCAAGTCTCCACAACCAATCCAAATCCCTGACCCAGACCCGCGATGACTCCGCAACGCTTAGTGTATGTAACTCGATATTCTTCCCCTCGTTCATGATCTCGAGTACTGATTGAGAAATATCCCAATCTTAGTGGTCCTGAAAACTCTCCTTCTCTCCCCTATCATATAAGAAAATGCTTTATTCAGAGATAATTAAGTGAAGTTTAACAGAAATCTGGATTGCATCGACGCAAAAAACGAAAACAATAACAACTGTGAGCGAAGTCACGCGTAATTGTGCTCATCCATCTATTTAAATCATACAAACCCCTATGCTACTAACATAGGTAGAAAATACAAGTTAGAGAACGAAAACTCAAAAAGAAACTCACAATAAAGAAAACATTTACCTTAAAGGCGCATAGCATTACAGGCATAAAAAAAACGACGACGCTGCTTTTTAAAAAGTGGACATAAGCATTGATCCGCAATACACTCGGGAAACGCAATACACTCGGGAAACGGTATCACAACAAGTTTCGCGATAGCAACCAAAGAAAAGAAAAACAACACACACACTCACACACGTAGATCTTTTATTGTAAAAGTTTGAATTTCAAATTGTAACAAAATTTTCGAAGCTCAGTCACCGAGCTACAGAGACTCTATGGTGAGCGAGGCCATCATTAGAACTTACCAGATTCACATGTGACACGTGTCTCACATACATCGCGTGATAGTTGAGGAGGGCGAGAGCAAGGCCGAGGCAAGGCTCCCGCGAGGCCTGAAAATCGATTTGGTATCAGCTTCTGTACCGCAGAAATTTAATTCTCATACCTCACTATTTCATTCCAAGAAATCAGGCCAGTTGATGTTAAGAGTTGGCGAATTAATTGTGCTGAGCTATCTCTATTTAAGACATTAAGCCATATGAAATTCCGAGAAAACCCGGAAGCCAATTTTTAATATCAAGTGTAAATAGTTAAAAAAAAATCATGTAACTCAGCAATAGACAAATCGAATTTAACTTGTGACTTTTCCGTGATCGACATGCCCATGCGCATAACCTGAACGTTCTCAATATCAATGGTATACCCATTTATTCCATTGCAGCCAACGTCTGAGTTTGGAACAGTTTAATATGGCAATCAGGCAGATATGCCTTTAGATTCCATTGTTGTAGTTGTC